ATTTTCAAAACAACGTTAGTTTTGCAACTTAATTTTGAAAAAAATAAAATAAATGCTATTATGTATATTTTTCCCTAAAAATTTACGTGCAATACATGCACGGCTCTTCTCTTAATTATGAAGCAACAGACACACGTCCCTGTTGGAACCCTAACGTGACGAAGAGAATAACACATCTGGGTTGCCTGCCTGATTGGCCAGTGATTTCAAATGGGGGACCAGTCGTGTCATTTGGCTTTCAGCAGTGGGATTCCATATGTTAGAAGAAATCTAACAAAAGCAAGAGCAATAATAGCAGATATGGTTTAGGAAAAAAAAACAAAAAAAAAAAAAACCAAAACAAAACAAAACAAAAGAACTTTGTATGAAGGTGGGAATTTGGGAAATGAAAATGATAGAAATTTACTTGGGCTCACAATTGGTATGAAAATTTCGGAGTGTTAAATTACTGGTGAAATCAAACTCTGTAGTTATAGTTTATTTGGTATTGCAAGCTGTTGACAATAATCCTTCTTGTTCAGTTAATTTTATTCGTGAAGTCAACTTGTAATGTCCCAGTTTAAATTTATTATTGAGTAGATTTGTTTGGACTCAAGCTTTTAGCCATATTTTCAACCAAAAAAAAGAAAGAGAGGAGTTCCGTGTTAAAAATGATTAATTTGGTAAGGTTTTTGGCGTTGTATAAAAACTCTTGTGATCAAAGTTTGGCCCTCAGAAAGATAATCAGGGATTTTTCCCCATCAAAACAGATTCGGGGTTTTTAAAGATGAGAGCCTTTATTATGGGTTGAGAAAATGTTGTATTTGATCAAGAGCTCTCAATCATACTCAAGACTTATCCAAATTGACTCAACATGAGTACTCTTCTTTCCCATTCTTTCTAGGGTGAGCTCCTAAAATTAATTAGAGATGGCTATAAAATCAAAACTATTAGAAAAAGAATAGTAGTTTTTCATGTACTCAAGCTCAGCTTCATTGACGTCTTAGTTGATTCTGATTCGACAATAAAGTATATTAATTTTTCTCTAACAACTGAATACCAAATTTATAAACTTTCATATTTTCACCGTTTCTACTTTATGATATAATCGGCTATGTAGTCTCCGTTTTTTTTCATACACATAATTTCAAATAGTGGGAGAACGACAATCGAACTCTTGAACATAGAATTAATTTAGAACAATGTTAGGCACACACAAGTACACATATCATCGGGTATTTTAGGAAAAATGCATTTCATTTAACATAAGGCATTTCCACATTATCAATTTAAGCAACATAGATGCATGCCACCTCCTAGTGAAAGGTACTTATCTTAAGGTGACTAGCTTGCAAGTTACAACTTAGGAACATAAAAAAAAATTAAAAATTAAAAAAAGAAAAGAAAAGAGGAACTAAATTGATCATGAGATTAATAATTAATTCACAAAGAGTAGCGTAGGAGAAGAAGATGGTTGTTATAACTTAAATCGTGTGGTCTATGCAAATCCCTTAACGGAGATTGTTTAAAGACAAACTCATTCATATTTTATCATGAAATACGTTTTTTACTTTAGATTTTGGCAAAAGTAAATGGTTTCTTCTCTTTTTTTTTGGTAAAAAAAAAAAAAAGACCAAATGATATCAAGCTTGAAATTAAGGGAAAATAATAGAGAAAACATGAAGAGTTTATGGCCCTATTAATTAATCTAAACTTGTTGTCCTCTTAAGCATTTGATCAATTATAATTTTACTGTCAAACATGTATAGAGTTAAAAAGTTAATACATGTAATTTTTCTTCCATTAGAAAAATTGAGCTATGAAGCTATGAAGCTATCCATCCCATGAAGTCAAGATTGAGACTAGTCGATCAGGTAAGAAATAACAGAACAGGGAAGAGGATAAAATTCACGGACTGAAGGGTCATAATTATCAACGATTTAATTACATACAAGTTTAGTAGATGAATTATGATGTTATATATGCTGAATTGAAGAGATTTTAATTTTAGATTTTAAATAAACTTGTAAGGAAAACTATGAAATTATCAAATTTCTAATGCATCTGGGCTCGCAGACATGATACAAGTAAAAAAAATATATGTGCGTGTATATGGCATTGGTGGTGCATGATCTTTATCGGAAGCAGTGGACATAGATCTGGACTGTCCAGAGCCTAATGACTAAGTAATTTGGACCATTTAAATTGAATATGACGATTTCCCTCACTTCAATTTGTTGGCCCACCTCACACAAACCGAGGACTACAATTCTCTTTCACACAAACTAAGAACTCGAATTTGCTGATCGTTAGATTTTGAACACTAAGGTTCGTAGAGGATTCAAATTCGAAAGCATTGTTCAATATTCATATAGGCATCTTATTATATACGTATAGTATACACATCTTTCTTTTACTTATGGAATCGGATCCCCTCCGGACCCAAATAAACTAAGCCTGCTGAGCAAAGGATCTGGGCTGTTGAAATTTAATCCAACGGCTACAATTATTATAATTTTAGAAGGCCTCTTATTTGTAATTGTTGAATCAAATTTCAACGCTCTGAATCCCTTGCTCAGCAGGCTCAGTTTTATTGGATCCGCAGGGAATCCGGTTCCTTTATTTATTACCTCCCACCCACCTTTCATGCCGTGTGTTCTCATTCTTACGTTATGCAGGTCTATTTTCTTGTGATGTTGACTTAAAAGCCATGAAAGCGATTCTATGACTACTTGCATAAACCCTAAGGAAAACAAGAAAAAAAAAAAGTGAGTTTTAACGAAAAGCCCGCGGTACTGTTCATTTTAATGAAAAACCACATTTTTACATTAAAAAGTCAAAATTGGTACTATTCACTTTACCCTTTATTTTATCCTTATCGTTAAAACTCAAAGTTTTCAAACCCCTTTAATTAGTTTTCTTAAAAAAAAAAATTAAAAAAAAATAAAAAGGAGAAAAGAATTGGGACAGAAAATACTAATTTAGAAAAAACATTTCGATAATTATAAGTTTACACAAAACATTTTAAGAGCTTATATAAAAGAAAAAAAATTCTTTATTTATTCACGTTTCACATTCTAATTGATTCTTTGTTCTAAATACTCTTATAAAGTCTTCTTTTTTTTTTCCCTCTTTCTTTAAATTATTAAGTTTGAAGTGTTTTTATTTAGAAGGTTATCACATTAGCAATTAGCCTATGGCGGATTAAACAAAAATTCTTTCGGCATCCTAGTTGGTGTCGGCACACCACATTGCCTAGTTCACCTTGACTTCCTTTCGTGTCTCAGTCTCTTTGAGACATTTTATTAAATATCTTTGTGACCTAGTAGTTATGCTAAAAAATAATATCAAAAGAACGGAGCGCATCGGTGATTGTATACAATTTATGGTGAAACAGTTCGAAACTAGGCCATGTCCAACCCTATTAAACTCTCACCATGTCAACGATTGTTACCATGGCCCCACAACTAGTTACTAGTCCCATAGATCAATAAGGAGTACGATTATCACCTCTTCTAATATTTCTCTCCTGACATCCCCTCTTATTTAAACAGTTGCGATTACGCTATATTTATATCTTTTTTTGAATTTTTTATATAGAGAATAAGACAAAAGAAAGAGTGTAAAAGGAGTGGATGAAATGAGATAGTAATAGGAGAGGAGATAATCCTACTCCGATCAATAATTAGGCATTTTTCGATGAAAGGCCTTTAATTAGTTTTTTAATTAGAAAGATTTATTAGGAAAATGATGGGTTTCTTTCGCTTATCCTCCTTTATCCAATTGTGTTTTCATTAGTTGTTTATTCCTAAGTTAGATAGACTTGTAGAATCAAAACTTATCTAAGCTTTTTCATGGATGTATAGGCCTTACTTTCATTTGTCCATTTCTTGACTCTAAAAAGTAGTCTAATCGTCATCGAGATGCTGACCCCACATATTGTACCAACGGGGGACTTTAAGGTAGTTTTTGGGGATTATGATTATCTCTCATCTTTTTTTTTCTTTCCTTCTATTTGAACGGTCATGATTAAATTACGTTAACATCTTATATTAATTTTATTTTTTTTATAGAAAGAGAGACAAATTAGAGAATGTGAGAGAAGGGGATGGAAAGAGGAAATGAGAGAATCCCAGTCCAATTTTTGGACTTATCAAAAATTTTAGATCATTTTCGGACCTTATTGTTCGAAGTTTAAGAACCAGAAAATTCAGTATTTTGGTTTGTGTGAAAAGTAAGATCAGAGTTATTGAATTGTGTGAAATGAGCTAGCAAAATAAGTTAATAGGAATTGTCAAATTCAATTGGAGTGGTACAAATTATCTGGTCCATAAAACCCAACACTCATGATGTCCATAAAAGATTATCCAATGCCTCATGGAAACATGAGCAATTGAGCATTGACTTCCCCTAACATGCTCTGCAAATCCAGAAGAAATGAAAAAATTGTTAGAAAGGGGCATTCCGAGAATTGAACTCGGGACCTCTCGCACCCTAAGCGAGAATCATACCACTAGACCAAATGCCCTTGATGCGTTTCTGTTTTACTTTAAACCAATATAAAATACAGCAGATTCTGATTTGGAATTAGTTTGGCTAGTTTTTTTCACTCGTTTATTTTTAGCTTGTTGCAATCTTCCTATAAGTTCATAATATATATTAAAATAACAAGGGCTTAATAAATGGTAAATATTCAGTTTGGAGTGTGTGTGACAAAAAATAAAACGTCGAAATTAAGAATTAGAAAAATAATTCGATTTGGATTTAGTTTGGCCATTGATTTTCACTCTCCTTTATTTAGCTTCTTGCACTCATACTATTGAGTGAAAGAAAAAGAAACTTGTAAAGAGTCCGTTTGAAAGAGTGTGAAAATCGCTACCCGTTAATTTTTCGAAGCTTTAAGCCTGAAAATAGTTCGTAAAGTTTTGAATCAACCATCCAGCATTGATTCTCAGCAAATCATTATCTCATGATATGCCAGTTGGCAACAAGAATCCATTTCCAGTTCCAAAGCAAAAAGATTAAAAGACGAATAGTTCCATTTCCATTCGATATCCAATTTCGATCCACATGAAGAAATTACTGGAAAAAGAATTTCATAAAGAATGATTGTTATTAAATTCTGTACAATATCCTGAGAATATTACTAGTCACACGAAACGACGGAAAGAGCTACGCGAAGATCGTTCGAGGTTCCACATGAATACATTCTATATGTTTCTACTTCTTCTCGAGTAATTTTGGATGTGTGGGCAGCGTAGTGATTTCCGCTCACTCTATCCCGCTTGGAAAATATTATCTCCCTCAAGATTGGTTCGTGGCCGTTGAGAAGATTACCCAGGCTTAAAACTTTCCTCCACGACTGATTAGCAGTTGGAGGCGTAAACATATTCGACACGATGGGTCTTTCGTGCATCCTTACTTGTTGCTTCTTGTCAAACTCCTGCAAAGATAAGGGGGGCACACGATATAACAATTGTTGGGGTAACGGTCAGTGCTAATTATAAACTCTGCCGCTGTGGTGCAGCTGCTCGAAGAATGAAAACAGAATGTTTCAATCCCTCAAGACATCGGGGACGTTATCTGCTGGACTGCTATATTAGGAATGCTTTCAAGAATAAAGGCAGTTTACCTTTGGAGCATTGTCTCCTGATGAGCTCGTTGCCATTCTAGGAAAATAAAAGCTGCAGCAGTCGGAGAAAATGGCTTCAGAGAGGCGTGGGGCTTGCAAGAACTTGCGATGAAGGGAAGCTGCAATAGTGAGTAGCTTCTCGACATGTTCAAAAACACCACAGAGCCGTCTTATATCTTCAATAGTCTCACTGCCAGCAGATAGACGATTTGCTGGAATAGAAACCGAAATTGTATTTACTCACTGCAAATTAGTGCAAGTACTATTCAGCTTTTCTCTTTAAATAAGAAACAGATTAGTAAACCTTGCAGAGGCCTCAATGCAGACGCCAAAGTAATGTAAAGTTGATCCATTTTGGTTTCCATCTGCTTCAAGCCTCCGTAGCTAGTCTGGTTCAAAGTATCTGCTGATGCTCTGAAGGCAGTACAAATCATTTGCTCGAGCAACTGATGCGGTCGTAACGTTTCCAGGTAATGAAGGATCTATGAAACGCAATGTTAGAAAAACATTAAGGAGATTCCAAAATACACTGTAAAACACATGAACCATCAAAAGATAAATTAGTTTGCCTACACAGATTTAAAACCTACGATCTCGCCTAACCCATCCCATGCTGTTTAAACTGTGGCTCCAGGGAACTATAAGAATTTTTACTTCATCATATTTCAAAGTGAATAATTAGTGCCATGAGTTTCACACCTAGAAGAAAGAGAACCCCCTTCCCTTTATTTATAAGGAGGTTCTGCCCTTGACACGAGGCCTTTGGGAATTCTTAAGGTTGCATCCATTTTCATGTAAGTGGGCTTATCCCATTTCTCTTGGCAACTGACTACTGAGCAAGAAACTTAATTGGTTAATGCCTAGGTGTCCAACGGATCACCTGACCAACAAAATGCAGTCAATTTTATTACATTACATTTATTTCCCTTTAATTAAAGATTGTTTATGTCTAAAATAGAAATTATTCAATCTATTCTATTAACAATAGAAAATCTGCCCTTGTTCCGTACTTTTTTTGCTGGATTGGGTTGGGTAGGTTCTATTTCATGCCTAAGATCAGTCAGTTTCAACTTTCTGGTGGCAAATAGAAACCAACCAGTTTAGGTCAGGAGGCACAAAACCCCAAAACTGACCCCGCGCTATTCATCTACATCCTGATTTTTGTGGAACTTTTAGAGAATAGGCTTATGCAGCAGTGATGTTTAACAAAATAACTGCTGGTAAGTTAGTTTACCTTTTCTCCTTCTCTATTTGGATCCAGAAGTGGCTTCTGCTCATAAGCTGGCAAAGCAGGTGCATCATTCCAAATCTTTCGCCATAAATTTCCATGCTCAGACATTCTCTTTGAAAGTCGTCCTTGAGGAGGCCAGTTATCCTTTGAACCCTCTATTGCCGGAGTGTTAGATGATCCAGTATCTTTTTTGTCATCGCTCTCCCAATCTCCAGGAGAATGCCAGCGAATAAAATCTTCAAAAACAGCATCTGGATTTGCAGCTTTAAATGCTGACATGTCTAATCAAAATTCAACTCATAAGTGACATTTATAAAAAGCATCACAAATCCACTAAAAGTTATTCTCAATGTGCAAATGTAGCTACAAAAGATATTTAGAACAATCTTTTAAAGGTTTTCACCTGAAGTTAAGATCTCTCTCTCCAACTGAGCAGAAAAGTCCTGCAATAGAATATTTGATAAAAATTATTGCAGTATGTTATACTTAACAACACATGAAAACCATCTAAAGAACATTATCTATCAAGTAATGAAGAATGAATTGTAATTTCCATATTGTGGAGTAATGTATAGAGTGGGCATTCCGTGGTCCATATTAATGTGCGACTGATGAGGGAGGCTGGAAAAAGAAAATCCTTGAGAACTTCCAACTTTTTTAATTCCATTGAAAAATAAGTACCTAATGTTTTCTTAACCCAAACATGAAAATCTTTCTGCATGCAATAGATTGGTATGACTAGAGCTAATTATCGTATGAAAACTTATGGCCAGAGATGCCAAATTAATACAAGGAGGTCTTAATCTTACAAATGAGTTGCCAAAGGCTTCAACAGCATGAAGCCGTTCTTCGTGCATGTCTTCTGTCATAAGTGGTGATTCCTACAAAAATGTGTAAAAAGTTCAACTTCCATTTCTTCAGACTTTGCAAGAGCACAAACTATGATGAGATTGTTAAATGGTTTTATATGTTACATCAACCTGAGTGTATGGCGCATGCATGCTCTGATACGACTTCAGAAGCATCATAGATCCTGCCACACCAGCTGAACCCCTCCTGATAGAATCTGAAGATTTCAGATTAGCAGATACCACATCTTCCAGTTTCATAGATCCTGCCACACCAGCCGAACCCCTCCTGGTAGAATCTGAAGATTTCAGATTTGCAGATACCACAGCTTCCGGCTTAGTGCTGCCACTCGATAAACTTTTTTCAGGGTGTTGTAAATTATCTGGTGTTGCAGGGCTGCAGCATCCAAGGTAAAGTGCATTAATCAAATGAAAACTTAACTTTATGCAAATTGAAAATTATCTACCCTAGTCCCTGACTCTTTATCGACTTCAAGGTATACACCATAATTTCCCTTTGCTTCAAAATATAGATCTTAATTTTAAACAACTGACCTCAAACTCCAAAGCAACAGACAAGCCAGCCCAGTAAACTAAAACATGTTTCTAGGCTAACAAAGGTACTCAAAAAGGTAGAATAGATTTTTTCCATCATTGCCAGAACTTTGGGTACCTGACCAAATTCACCTAATAGGGTACCCAAACCTAGGACATGTTAATTTGTGCATAATTAAGATTAACCGTTCAAATTCTTAATTCTGTTGAATTGCCACACAAAAGTAATTTACAACAGACCAGCAATCTTGCATCTATAAGTATCTACCCCACTCTAAGCATGTGAAAAGCATAAGCTAACCAATAACAGTACTCTTTACATGAATGTATCTGCACCACAGGACTTAATGGTGAAACAAGAGGGAACCCACAACCTTGCTTCTCAATGTTAACATTACAACTCACCTCATGCTTTCAACTAAGCAAAGAAAGTGAAGAATGCAGTCTTGGTGCATAAGCGCGCACACACACACACACATGAATTATAAGTAATTAAACTGCCAACGGCAAAATTAAACAAGTTTTTTATCCAAATTCAAACAAAAAAAAGAGATAATCCCAAAGAATTTGTTAATGAAGAAAACCAAGGAGATCTCACTTGCTTAGTTCACCTGTCATGTTTCCCATCAAAGTTTTCACCAGGTGTTTGCATTATACAGGAATACTCATCTTGACTATCTTCCTGCATTTTCAGTAAACTAGAGTCATGCTGACATGAGGAGGAACTATGATGTACATAGGATTAGAACATAAGCAGTAAGATCACCACAAACAAAATAAAGCACACAAAAAAAATCAGTTTGACCTCAGTCTGAGGAGATGAATTCTCCTGGCTTCCAACACAATCTTGAAAGTCTTCATTCAATTGACGCTTCATCTCAATGCATGTTGCAAGCTGAACAAAAAGCAGTAAGATAAAATGTTTTTTGGCTTGGTTTCATGTGCATCAAAGGAATCATCACAGGATAAAGGTCCAATGACAACATTTTCACATCATATCTTAAAAATAAAATCAACATGTTCGGCATATTAGTTTAATCTCAATTTGATCAACAAAATTGTATAATGTGTGTGTTCATTACTATCCTGGACATTGTCAAGCAACCATGGTGCCATACAGCAACAGTCATAAGCTTAGACATGTGTTCTTATAAAAGAAAATAGGTGCAAGGGTGTTAAAGTTTTCAAAACCAAATTGTTAACATCTGTAGAAACATCTGTTTAACGATAATAATTTTTTTTTTTTCTTTTCAGAAACGAATTCCATCAAACTCTTTGAAGATTTGTACAGATAATTACCATGTGAAGTTTCTGATTAATCAAACACGTGGAGAGGTCAATTGAACCAGTGGCTGGCATTAGGGGCAGTGGCTGTGACTCTTCCCAACACCACCGAACTTCACGAACAAACTCTATCCAAATAACAGCAATAGCTGATCAAACATATACAAAAACAAATGGCCGGTCATAATTTAGAAAATAACACTACTAAGGAAATGAATCCAACCATCTGAATGGCGTACACACTCAATAAATTCTTTTAAAAGATTGTGAAAATATTAGAAATTTGGTTCCTATGCATACCACGTATGTTGCAGTTTCCAAACCATAGAGAATGCAAACAAAACTGTGCAAAAAGGGATTTAAGAGGTGCGCCCTTAATAGCTCGAGAAGTCTTATGCTCCGCAGCAGCAACATCTGGGAATCGTGCACCTACATAGATCATTGGTGCTTATGATTAGTAACCACCGCAATATAGTGTAAAGTGTCTGTTTCAGTTAGCTACATGAAAATGTCTTGCAGGAAGGGAGCAATACCATCATGAAAGAGTTCCTTAAGCATACGATCAATAACTGTAGGTGGAGGTATAACCATTGAGGACTTCAAATTATCTGAACCTGGATTTTCAACTACCCAAAGAAAGAGAAGAAAAAAAAAAAAAAGAAAGTGGCCAGCTCAATAAAAAACCAAAATGACATCTCCACCTCATGAAACAAAAACAAGCAATTTATCGAAAAATAGCTGATGAATCTAAGTTGCATAAGAGGTCAAATTCAAACCTGACACAAAATCTTCCATAAATTGAGCCTCAAAGGACATATTCAATGTGTCAAGTAATAGGCACAGTTGAGAAGCAAATCCAATTCTGTTTCCTTTGGAAGAATCAGTTCTGAAGAAAAGTAGTCATCAGATAGCTTATAAAATAAGCACACTATACAACAATACCCATCATGTGCACCAGTTAATAAAAAACGACATAATAACACTTTGAAGATGCAGATCAATGGACATTGCTTTAAAAAATAAAGTTCAGTGTTAGTTTTTTTCGTTGAGGAAATTAGAATTCAGAATAATATAGCACCAAAACCCTACAATTTGGATAAGCTAAAAATTATGGGCAAATCCTCTTGTGACATATACTGTGGAAGAATAAATGAAAAATGACCAAAATCTTCAATACGCAATTACGCATGGACAAAGCTATCACAGGCATAGCGTTTATTTGATAAAAATTGATAATGTCGTCTAAATAAAGAAGTATCTCACAAAGTTGAAGACATATTTGGAGATAGTATCCATTTTTGAGCTTCGTGGGGCGAAGAATTTTCCAGCTCAGCCATTTCCATAGAGCTCTCAACCAAATTCTCTGACCACATGGCAACCAATTCAAATCCTGTGGGCAGTCAATACATACATCAAATTAAATGTTTAGTCCATAGTGAGTTATCAAGCATGCCAAGGATCATTGTGGTAAACAACATGCATGTTGTTTGAAGTAAAACCTAAGACATTATCCCACACAGTCATACCTAAAAGAACGAGCACGGCTATGGACAAAACCTATAAGAGGAAGCATTACACAATGAAACAATTCAGGATAAAACTACCTTTTACAGGGTCTTCGGCAGAATACCACTCACTCCATGGACAATCATCATCCCATTGTGTTGTATTGTGAGTTTCACCACCAAGATCTATTTCAGATTCAGTAACATCTGGATCATCTCCTTGAACCTCATCATCATGGGGAAGGGATCTGTAGGTTAGCTTCATTGTGAAATGGACTTTGAAACTGTGAGTAGAAAAGTCCAATGTGGAGTAGGCCTTCACCATCAAAAGAAAAATAATTAGATTTTGGAGAAACAGGAAACCAAAATATAATTTTAAAAACAATACTACTTTAAGGAACTTCAAATTCAATGGATAGCGAAATATACAGAACAAGAATAGTTAGCAAAGAACATATAATTCAAAAAATAAAAATCCTGCTGATATTGTTTGAGAAAAAACAGACTTTTGGGATGATGATAGCATGAATCGGACTGACCAAAACTATACTATTCAGCCTACCTATAGCATTATGAAATGAAAAGGAGGTACACAAAATAAAAGGAAACAGCAGGGACATAGAGTACAGCCTAAAGATCTTATAAGCCTCAAATCATACTATTATAGTAGTAACTGTAAGCTCAAAAGGTAAGTGAATAACCAACTTGTGACAGCAAGACTGCAAGATTATATCAAAAAGAAAAAAGGACATTTAATTTTTGGTAGAAACTTACAAATTTGGAAACAAACAACTCATACAATCCTTCCAAATGCATGAGTTTTACCGGAACCTGGCTACCAATATGATCAGCCTCAAATCTTCTTGTAAAAACTGTTCCCATATTTTGGATACCGATGTAAGCTTTCCTAGCAGGAACATGTACTGGAACAAATGCAGGCCACAAACTGCATAGCCAAATTTTGAATAATATCATATGGTTGATATAACTTAACTCAAATAATGAACTAGATAAAGTATGTAACACCATGACAAAAAGTTAATAAACTGCAGGCCACTGATTGTCAACAAACACTACATGGATGTTGATCTAATATCAGAAATTTCAATTGACCTAGGCACATGTCTAAGAAGAACCAAAAGTTACAAAGAAAAAGTTTCAAGTTGGTATCCCTCCCACCTCGAACAATTTGATAAGGCAATTGCAACTGCACTTAAAAGCTTGCTAGCCTCAGGTGCATCAAGAACCACACCGCTGGCACTTTGAGGAGCAATTACCTGACGAAATATGATCAACAAGTTTGAAACCAAAATACAAATAAATAAAGCACTAAAGAACGAAAGGTGTCAAGCTATGGCATACCAAAAATTCTTTCACCCCAAAACACAACTGCAAGTCATGCAATGTGGAATTCCAATCAATAACTTTGCCTGTACCACCGCAATACAATAAAACATTAGCCTCCAATATTAACATTTTGATTCAAATTTACGACAAAAATATAATTAAAGAAAAATGACGATTGAAATTCCTCATTACCGTCATATTTTGTTCCAAAATAGTATTCCATGCAATAAGTTTTTGCTGAAAACTTCAACTCAGACTTGACCTTGTATAAATCCTCCGAAACCTCCCTTGCATCCTTTTTCTACAGCCAAAAAATACACAAAATCCATATTGGCAGTGACAAACATGACAAAGGACAACAAAAACTAAAAACTTTTCCTCTCAACAAGATCGTATTACAATTTTCATCACGATGGCAATAAAAATCAAACTCAGCAATGCAAAAATATAAGTAGCAATCAAAATGCACAAACTGACGTGAATAACTCATTCGCATAACAATTTGAGTAACAGAACAAGCTTCTTCAAGCATACCAGCAGATTTTTCGGACCGTCTGCCAACCATTGCCTACAAACCGCTTCAATATCGGAAATAAACCTGAAAACATGACAATTACAATCCAAATTAGTTCCCAACATATACAAAGTCGAAAACTTTACAAAAATTAGCTGAGTATATATAATTATATACATACACACACATATGAATTACCTTTCCCATGAAGAGGCAAGAGTGAAATCATCAAAATGCTCAACCTGCAACCAATATTATTTTCCTTCAGAGTAAGTTCATAGCTTTTTGCTTGATTAGCTCTTATTAGTGGCGTCGGAGTAAAATTAAAGTTAAAAATTTCTGGAAAATTACGACGTGAAATTCAATTAAGCATGAATAAAAAATAACAATTAAAAATTAAAAATCGATGAATTCAAAGCAATGGATAATGGCGAACCTCCTCCTCTTCAGCTTCATCGTCTCCGACAGATTCCAACCTGCTGGATGACGCCATGTACGGAACGCAGCAGAAATGTGTTTTTCGGATTGAATTTACGACGTCGTCTGATTTTCTTTGGGTTCACGTAATCGATGATCGACTGGGTTGAGATCTGCAGACGAAGGATTACTGTTAAGATCTGTAGAGTGCGGGAATTGCAGATGACTTCTCCTCGCGCTTCTCCGTGTTGTACGTCTTATGCAAATTGCAGTTTCGTCACCGAGGTTTATGATATTTGTATTCGGCACCTTCTAAGTAGATCCTTTCGACACCATTCGAGTTTGCATTGGGTTCGGTCTGTCTTTTGGCTCGTCTAAGTTTGGCTCGTGAAAGAACCAAGTCAAATTTAATTCGGCTCGATTAGGAAACAAGCAAAACTTGTAAGTATGTTCAACTCGTAAATTCTTGAGCAACTTGAATTTTTTAACAAAACAGTTCAAGGTAAATTTGAGGTCAACTCGATCATTCAAGCTCGATATCTAATAATTTAAACTATTTATTAACAAAATTCTCATTGCCAACTAAAAAAAAGTGAAAAGACAATTTAATCTTCTATCATAAAATAAAATTGTGGAATGTAAAGTGATTTCCCATAAACCAAATTCGAACTCCATTCATGAAACACCAATCTTACATTACTTCGCATTACAAAATGGCAACCGTACAAGATAATGGGAGTAAGGATTTGTTTGAAATCGCTTCCAAAAGATCCAAAAAATTTCAATTGGATAAATGAGAGTGGGACGATATTTTAAGAGTTCTCATTTTACCACATTTCTCTAATAAATGTATAACTCACAAATATAAAAGATTTTTCAACATAATCAAAATATAATACATCACATATCATTGTATAATTAAAGAGGCGTTTGAAAAAAAAAATTAATTATATAATAACATGGAAAATAACTTTTTGTTTTCCAATCACACTCGAAAATTTTTCCACAATTACAACTTCGAAGTAGGTCTTACAACGTGGTTTCCCTGTTTTCTGAAAACATAAGCACTCGCAGTGGGCCAACAAGGGCCCCACACCCATTTACGTACAGCGATCCCCACCGTTGGTTCAAATCGGAAAGCATCATCATCATCACTCCTAACACACAGGCAGTTGTGATTTATTAACACAATCATTAACTAATTTATTCACGCTCCCATACAATAAAACAAGCCCACCACCCTCCCTCTCTCTTCTCTCTCTCTCTCTCTCTCTCCTCCTTTTATTTGTCAAAAAATGAAGAAACTCAGAAATCTGAACGTGACGAGGCCACTCTCTCTGTACTCTCTGTGTCGCTGAACTATATACGGAGACGACGGGCGAGTCACTGACTCACTGAGTCATCCGAGCCGACCCGCATTGAGCTTCTCTAGCTTACTCTACCCATGGCTGCAGCTCTGGAGTGCTGGTCGGGCCGAGCGAGCACTGACGAGGACATGGTGGAGCAGGTGCTGATGAGGACGCATGACAGATCGGAGGGCGCGACCGCGGCGCCGGAGAGTTCTAACGGCGCCGGAGTTAAGGAGTCGTCCGTGGTGCAGAAGAAGCTGCAGAGGCTGAGCCGGAACGTGTCAGAGGCCATCGCGTCGCTCAAGAACTCGCTGAATCTCGACTCGGCGAGTGACTCGGCTACGGCGTCGTTTGGCAAGATCGAGAGCTCGAGGAAGTTGGTGTGGGGGAGTGTGGTGCGTAATCTCACGCAGCTCTACCCTGGCAGTCAGCTGCCGGAGAAGCTCGTCTCCAACATTCGCAAGCATTACGATTCTCTTCCCCTCAGGTTTGAAGGCTGAATCTTTCGCTCTGTTTGGTTACTGAGTTTAGTTTATGCTTGTTTGGATTGATGGATTGCGACTTTGTGCAATTTGTTGAGCAGCCAAACAGAGGATTTGGATTGTGTTGTGATTGATTTTGCTTGTTTAGTGATTTGGGTTTTTGTGTATGTGGTGTGTAGTTATGCACAGGCGGGATTCGAAATGAAAGAAGTGTTTCTTCATATAAAATTGATAGAGCAGGCATCATTGGATGGGCATCCTGCAATGTTGATTCAAGAGGTGTCTGAGGAGGAGGCTCAGGGGTCTGTGTTCAAGCTCACCTTTGCGTGTAACTGTTCGATTTCATGGCCATTGATGTCCGGTGCACTCGATAACGAGTCGATTTGCTACAAGAAGGTACAGATCTTTGAGAAGAAAGGGTGTACTATTGGCGTTGTTCTTCTTATGGTTGACGTTGGGCAAGATAAATTGTTCAGAAACCGGGTTGAAAATGCTTTGAAGTTGGCTATAAGGAAGCCCAAATCGAGCACGGTGAAGCTCCCGTTTGGACTATGTGGGTGCCAAGAAGAGAATACGATGGGGAGGGAGGTGGGAGATATTGAGGACGACATTGGTGAACAAAATTATAGGAATGGGATTGAGATTTCTAGCCAAATGATTCAGCTTCCCGATCCTCTACCCACTTCGTCATTTGTTGTATCCGTAGATGAATGGCAGACAATCCAATCGGGGGGCGATGAAATTGGGAAGTGGCTGTTGAACTCTGATAATCTCGACTTTGTTGATCAGATTGGACCCAATTCATATAAGGGAGTGTACAAGGGGAAAAAGGTTGGAATTGAGAAGCTTAAAGGGTGTGACAAGGGAAATTCCTATGACTTTGAACTCCGAAGAGATCTTTTGGAGCTCATGACGTGTGGGAACAAGAACATTCTGCAATTTTATGGTGTTTGCATTGATGACAATCATGGGTTGTGCGTTGTTACGAAGCTGATGGAAGGTGGATCAGTATATGACTTGATGCTTAAGAACAAGAAGCTTCAGATTAAGGACGTATTAAGGATTGCCGTTGATGTGGCAGAGGGGGTCAAGTTCATGAATGACCACGGCGTTGCATATAGGGACCTCAACACACAGCGTATATTATTAGATCGACATGGGAATGCTTGCTTAGGGGACATGGGTATAGTTGCTGCTTGTAAAAGTGTTGGTGATGCAATGGAGTACGAGACAGATGGATACCGGTGGTTAGCTCCCGAGGTTAGTTCATTGTTGCGTCAGTTATTATTCCGTGCATTTTCTGCTTTGAACCAGTTAAACTGAGTTCTTACATGTCTATAAACCTTTTATCTTGTCAATCTGCGTAACCAAAAGCTGTGGGAAAAAATTGACGTTCCATTTCCATAGACATTGCGAACCCAAATGTGTCTGTCATTCCAAGAACTTACTCACATGATCGTATTGCAGATAATCTAGTCATTATTTCGCTACAAAAACTTTACCTGCACAGTCCTCCTCAGCATACAAAATTTGATTTCTTTTGTATGGATTTTTTGTTAGATTTCATCATTTCGCTGGCAGTCATAGTGGATTCAATGTATCAATTCACCTATTCAGGATCAATCTATTTTCACTAAAGACACTTTATGTCACTTAACCCGACATATTTGTTTGAGCATGCCTAACATGTTTTCCTAATTGGTGGTACTTTACATCTCGGTGTACTATTTATCTTTATCTAAGCACTCCTCTATATTCCGTGAAACTTTGCCCAACTACATTTATGCATGCCACTAAACATATCAACTTAGCCGCAACGTTATAGTAGTGCTACTTTCCGAAATACAGGTATTATTGTGCGGATCCCCCAAAATGAAAATTTTAAGTTTTTAGCAATGATCACTGGTCAAGAATTATATCCTTTCCGGAGCAGTGTTTGATGCCGCTCTATAAACCCATGTTTCATCCACCTTTTATTAGCTTGTGATAATAATTGGATGCTGATACAAACTCTAGGTATAAATTGCTTGATGATGAAAAGAACTATTTTAATGTCGTTTATTTGGATTTGCTTTTGATTTGGGTCCCGGGAAATGCGGATACAAATCACTTAGAACAGAATAATTTTCTTTCTTTACTCAAGTTTGCTCTTTTGGGACCACCTTTTGTCACTTTCACTTTTGTATACCATCTGTCAATCTGAGTAACAAAGAACTTGTTCACATTTTTGGAAGTACAGAAGTAAACAAAAACCTGAAGTTGTTATTCCGTCTAACGAATTACACCTCATATCTCATATGAATTAATCGTATCGAAGCCATCCAGCATACTAGTTAGGTTACATATTTTATTCACCGACGTTCTTCCACATCTTTCTGCTTTGTATATCTCATATTTATGATCTGAATACTTGAAGTAACAGATATGGTATTCATTGCTTTGTTCGCGTTTCTGGTTGCCGACAGATCATTGCCGGTGATCCAGAGTGTGTTAGCGAGACATGGATGAGTAATGTGTACAGTTTCGGGATGGTAATTTGGGAGATGGTTACTGGTGAGGCAGCATATGCTGCGTGTTCACCGGTACAAGCAGCAGTGGGGATAGCTGCCTGTGGCCTTAGACCCGAGATTCCAAAGGACTGCCCACAAATGCTGAAGTCCTTGATGACCAAGTGCTGGAACAATTCACCGTCAAAGCGCCCTCAATTCTCGGAAATTCTATCAACTTTGCTGCGGTCAAACAACAACGGTAATAGGTGAACATCCTTAAGCTAGTCTGAGTGATATGTTTCTAGTATATTTATATTTAATACCGCTAATGTAAAACTACCCGTAATTACGGAGTAATCCATGCTTAATGTAGATGCAAAGAAAAGCTTATGCAGCTGAAATGAAAAAAAATCTTCTTTCAACTCTCTCTCTACAAAAGGGCAAAAAGAGAAAGAAAAGAGAAAATTGGATTTATGGTCTCTCAATTTTGGCTCAATTCGAGCTTTGGTCCCTCAACCAAAGATCCACGAGTATTGGGCATTTAACTTGCTATAATGTGGGGCAGTAATCATTTTCGCGAACTTTGTTAGAACTTCTTTCCAAAATAAAGGGTTTAAAAGGGCAAAAAATGAATGGAAGTTCTAACGAAATTAGTCAAAAGAACCATTGTTCCATATTATTAGTTCACGTGTCAATATTCGTGAATTTTTAGTTAAGGGTCCAAAGCTCCAATTGAGCTAAACGATCGATGCTTCAAAACTTAAAAGAAAAACTGGATATTTTATTGAGAGTTTTAACGAAAAGCTCACGGTACTGTTCATTTTAACAAAAAATCATATTTTTACACTAAAAAGTCAATTCTAGTACTATTCATTTTACTTTTTATTTTGTTATTATCATTAAAACTCAAAGTTTTTAAATCATTTTCATTAATTTTTCTTATTTTATTCGGTCACTTTAGAATTTTACTTTACCAAACGCACTATGATTCAA